TTACCGTCTGTCCGTCTCCCTGTGTCGGTTATCCTCTGTCCGTTGTCTGTCTCCCTGTGTCGGTTACCCTCTGTCCGTATCCCTGTGTCGGTTACCCTCTGTCCGTTGTCCGTCTCCCTGTGTCGGTTACCCTGTCTGTCCGTCTCCCTGTGTCGGTTACCCTCTGTCCGTCTCCCTATGTCGGTTCGTTGTCCTCTGTCCGTTGTCCGTCTCCCTGTATCGGTTACCCTCTGTCCGTCTCCCTGTGTCGGTTACCCTCTGTCCGTCTCCCTGTGTCGGTTACCCTCTGTCCGTCTCCCTGTGTCGGTTACCCTCTGTCCGTCTCCCTGTGTCGGTTACCCTCTGTCCGTCTCCCTGTGTCGGTTACCCTCTGTCCGTCTCCCTGTGTCGGTTACCCTCTGTCCGTCTCCCTGTGTCGGTTACCCTCTGTCCGTCTCCCTGTGTCGGTTACCCTCTGTCCGTCTCCCTGTGTCGGTTACCCTCTGTCCCCCTGTGTCGGTTATCCTCTGTCCGTCTCCCTGTGTCGGTTATCCTCTGTCCGTCTCCCTGTGTCGGTTACCCTCTGTCCGTCTCCCTGTCTCGGTGACCCTCTGTCCGTCTCCCTGTGTCGGTTACCCTCTGTCCGTCTCCCTATGTCGGTTCGTTGTCCTCTGTCCGTTGTCCGTCTCCCTGTATCGGTTACCCTCTGTCCGTCTCCCTGTGTCGGTTACCCTCTGTCCGTCTCCCTGTGTCGGTTACCCTATGTCCGTCTCCCTGTGTCGGTTACCCTCTGTCCGTCTCCCTGTGTCGGTTACCCTCTGTCCGTCTCCCTGTGTCGGTTATCCTCTGTCCGTCTCCCTGTGTCGGTTACCCTCTGTCCTCCCTGTGTCGGTTATCCTTGCCGGCCGAGCCGGCCGGAAGCTGCGAGTAACAGATTCTCAGGAGTCGAACAAGGTTACCAAGTGCCAACTATATTTAACCCGCGCCCCACTGGGGTCTGTGTATAACACGCCCTACTGGGGGGGGGGGGGGGGCTATTCATAGCCCCCCCCTCCTAACTCCGAAACTACTGGGCCGATCGTCAAAATTCAAACGGCGTCTGATAGCCCCGGAAAAACTGTCGAGCGAAACCTAATTTCATTGACCTCGAGGTCACCGATGACGTCACAGGTCAGGTCAAAGTAAAAATTATTAGCACTTTGGCTTGTTCACATTTTGGGCTCTGGCCGCCGTCTTACAAGTCAGATCAGGCTCATTTTTGGTTTCCACACTCGTGAACAGATGCTCTAGATACCTTGAGGGTACCAAACTTGTACTTTGATTTTCAGGTCAGGGTCAGGTCATCACAGGTCACGAAAATATTATATCATGCGTCGGTCACGTGACACATGTTTTATGGTCCATTTAGGCCATATATTTCGAATTTGATGTCGTGTGTGTCATTCAAGGTCATTTTGAGTCGAAATTAGCTTAGGTCAGGTCACTTTCAGGTCAAAACAGGTCAAATTTTGAAGTTGAAATTTTTCAACAAAAAAGGTGTCTATTGGATGCAGTTTGAGCTCAGGAACACGATGGTGTCCTTTATATTGGTGTACGATGCGAAATACGTACTGAAAAATTGATTTGAAAAATTAATAATTGTGAATTTTTTGCAATAATGCGTATAACTTGGCCATTTTTGAAGATATTTAGCTAAAACTTGCTAGAGTTAGTCATAATCATGCGTTCTGTCACATATATTCCGGTTTTTTTCGAAAAGTCAAAAACTTTTTGAAAAAAATATAAAAATATAAATTTTGAATATTATTATATAAAATTTTCGAAATTTTCAAAATTTTGAAAATCCGAGATAGCAGTTTGATAGCGCGGTCAATTCTGAGTCCTTGCATGCAAAGAAATTGGATCTAGCTTAAAAACTGAGCTCTTGGGAGCGATTGCCGTGGCTCAATGTTTTGCGTCGAAATCGGACGAACATGACGTCACTCTGACGTCATTTTCGGCCGACCTATGGTAGCTACGAAGTTCAAATTTTGACACAAGGTGTCAAATTGATGCAGCCGAAGGTACTGAAAGTTTGGCGTCGATTCGTCAAGCGGTTTGGAAGTTATTGCAGAAAAACGGGAGGGGGGGGGCTATAAATAGCCCCCCCCCCAGTGGGGCGCGGGTTAAGTGTTGTCCGGACATATCCGTACCTGCTATCGGAGCGTTTGATACCTAATTACCTACCTACACTTTTCTGACCCGTATTTAATATGTTATATAGTCATGTAAGCCATCAGATTCCCATCATAGTTTTAGTGGCTACATTAACTATTTGCTTACTGGAATTTCCGGTGCCGTCATGACCTGACCTGACAGGTGTTGCCATCTTATCACGTGACCGAACCGAGTCGAGGTCAACGCAGGTCAACTGATTAATTAGTTAATTAATTAATTGTTTAAATTACTAATGATTGATTAATCAAATTTATCAGAAATTGCTTCCAAAGTACACCGACTACCATTTGTATGCTTCTACCATCCCTTTCATGTGAAAAGCGGGCACGAAACACGAAAATTACCGGTCTGATGTCGCGCTAATTTTCGCTCCGGTCCCGTTGTGCATTGGTAAGATTGGGCCCATGTGTCGCCGCTGTCTGTCCGATCTCGATGCCGGTCGTCTGACCCCCCCGCGGCCGGCACACAGGGCTGCAGGCCGTGCAATTGCCACGTGGCCGGGTCGCTGGCCAATCAGCCCTCCTGCGACCCGGACACGGGCGTGTGCAGCTGCAAGGCAAACGTCGAGGGACAGACGTGCGACCGCTGCAAGCCGGGCTTCTTCTCGATCGACGAGCAGAACCAGTTCGGCTGCACGCCCTGCTTCTGCTTCGGACACAGCTCCATCTGCGACGCCGCCACCGGCTACTCGGAAGGTAGGGTAGACACCGTCTACTGACGGGGTAGACACCGTCTACTGACGGGGTAGACACCGGCTACTGACGGGGTAGACACCGGCTACTGGCGGGGTAGACACCAGCTACTCGTAGGGTGTGCGAGGCGATTCCTGTCACTGTAATTCCTGCCGCTGTGACCTTGTGGCTCCTGCTAGTGTGACTCTGAGCTGACTCGTCTGCTGCGCTGTGACTCTGACTCGTCTGCTGCGCTGTGACTCTGACTCTGACTCGTATGCTGCGCTGTGACTATGACTCTGACTCGTCTGCTGCGCTGTGACTCTGACTCGTCTGCTGCGCTGTGACTCTGACTCGTCTGGTGCGCTGTGACTCTGACTCGTCTGCCGTGGTGACTCTGACTCGTCTGCTGCGCTGTGACTCTGACTCGTCTGCTGCGCTGTGACTCTGACTCGTCTGCCGTGGTGACTCTGGTCTGCTGCGCTGTGACTCTGACTCGTCTGCTGCGCTGTGACTCTGACTCAGACTCGTCTGCTGCGCTGTGACTCTGACTCTGACTCGTCTGCCGCGCTGTGACTCTGACTGTGACTCGTCTGCTGCGCTGTGACTGACTCTGACTCGTCTGCTGCGCCGTGACTCTGAGTGCCCGCCGCTGTGACTCTGAGTGCCCCCCCCCCTCCCCCGCAGTGGTGCCGCAGTCGGAGTTTGTCCGCTCGGACGAGGGCTGGACGGCCGTGTCGTACTCTGGCCAGCCGGTGTCCCACGCGTACCGTCCGCTGGTGCAGGTGATTGCCGTCAGCTCGCCCAGCCAGGAGGCCGTCTACTTTAGTGCGCCAGGTGAGCGGCCGCGCTGGGCTCAACTAGACCCGTGGCGGCGTGCAGCAGACTCTGGTCTGGCCCCTCAGAGAGTGCGGACTCAGTCTAGGTAGCTCAGACTGTGCCGAGTTCGACGCTTTGTCCCCCTCAGATTGTACGGAATAACGTCTATACCGACTGTGTTGCTTCAAGTCTTGCTTCGAGATGAGTTCCACTTCAGCTGCCCTGTGTGTGTCAGACCGCCGCTCACCAGCTGCTCTGTGTGTCAGACCGCCGCTCACCAGCTGCTCTGTGTGTCGGACCGCCGCTCACCAGCTGCTCTGTGTGTCAGACCGCCGCTCACCAGCTGCTCTGTGTGTCAGACCGCCGCTCACCAGCTGCTCTGTGTGTCAGACCGCCGCTCACCAGCTGCTCTGTGTGTCAGACCGCCGCTCACCAGCTGCTCTGTGTGTCAGACCGCCGCTCACCAGCTGCTCTGTGTGTCAGACCGCCGCTCACCAGCTGCTCTGTGTGTCAGACCGCCGCTCACCAGCTGCTCTGTGTGTCAGACCGCCGCTCACCAGCTGCTCTGTATGTTAGACCGCCGCTCACCAGCTGCTCTGTGTGTCAGACCGCCGCTCACCAGCTGCTCTGTGTGTCAGACCGCCGCTCACCAGCTGCTCTGTGTGTCGGACCGCCGCTCACCAGCTGCTCTGTGTGTCGGACCGCCGCTCACCAGCTGCTCTGTGTGTCAGACCGCCGCTCACCAGCTGCTCTGTGTGTCGGACCGCCGCTCACCAGCTGCTCTGTGTGTCGGACCGCCGCTCACCAGCTGCTCTGTGTGTCAGACCACAGCTCACCAGCTGCTCTGTGTGTCAGACCACAGCTCACCAGCTGCTCTGTGTGTCAGACCGCCGCTCACCAGCTGCTCTGTGACCTGTGTGTCAGACCACAGCTCACCAGCTGCTCTGTGTGTCAGACCACAGCTCACCAGCTGCTCTGTGTGTCAGACCGCCGCTCACCAGCTGCTCTGTGTGTCAGACCGCCGCTCACCAGCTGCTCTGTGTGTGTTAGATTAGACCGCCGCTCACCAGCTGCTCTTTGTGTGTCAGACCGCCGCTCACCAGCTGCTCTGTGTGTCAGACCGCCGCTCACCAGCTGCTCTGTGTGTCAGACCGCCGCTCACCAGCTGCTCTGTGTGTCGGACCGCCGCTCACCAGCTGCTCTGTGTGTCGGACCGCCGCTCACCAGCTGCTCTGTGTGTCAGACCGCCGCTCACCAGCTGCTCTGTGTGTCGGACCGCCGCTCACCAGCTGCTATGTGTGTCAGACCGCCGCTCACCAGCTGCTCTGTGTGTGTTAGACCGCCGCTCACCAGCTGCTCTTTGTGTGTTAGACCGCCGCTCACCAGCTGCTCTGTGTGTGTCAGACCGCCGCTCACCAGCTGCTCTGTGTGTCAGACCACAGCTCATCAGCTGCTCTGTGTGTCAGACCGCCGCTCACCAGCTGCTCTGTGTGTCAGACCGCCGCTCACCAGCTGCTCTGTGACCTGTGTGTCAGACCACAGCTCACCAGCTGCTCTGTGTGTCAGACCACAGCTCACCAGCTGCTCTGTGTGTCAGACCGCCGCTCACCAGCTGCTCTATGTGTGTTAGACCGCCGCTCACCAGCTGCTCTGTGTGTCAGACCACAGCTCACCAGCTGCTCTGTGTGTCAGACCACAGCTCACCAGCTGCTCTGTGTGTATTGGACCGCCGCTCACCAGCTGCTCTGAGTGTCAGACCGCCGCTCGCCAGCTGCTCTGAGTGTCAGACCGCCGCTCACCAGCTGCTCTGTGTGTCAGACCGCCGCTCACCAGCTGCTCTGTGTGTCGGACCGCCGCTCACCAGCTGCTCTGTGTGTCGGACCGCCGCTCACCAGCTGCTCTGTGTGTCAGACCACAGCTCACCAGCTGCTCTGTGTGTCAGACCACAGCTCACCAGCTGCTCTGTGTGTCAGAACTCAGACCACAGCTCACCAGCTGCTCTGTGACCTGTGTGTCAGACCACAGCTCACCAGCTGCTCTGTGTGTGTCAGACCGCCGCTCACCAGCTGCTCTGTGTGTCAGACCGCCGCTCACCAGCTGCTCTGTGTGTCAGACCGCCGCTCACCAGCTGCTCTGTGTGTCAGACCGCCGCTCACCAGCTGCTCTGAGTGTCAGACCGCCGCTCACCAGCTGCTCTGAGTGTCAGACCGCCGCTCACCAGCTGCTCTGTGTGTCAGACCGCCGCTCACCAGCTGCTCTGTGTGTCAGACCGGTTCCTGGGCGACCAGCGCTCCAGCTACAACCAAGAGATGCTGTTCACCCTGCGGATCGGCGAGCCGGGCCCGGCCGCCTCGGTGGCCGACGTGCTGCTGCAGGGCGCCGGCATGGAGGTCTCTCAGCCCATCTTCGGGCAGGGGAACGCAATGCCGACCCTGCAGGTTAGCGGCCGCAACTGCTCCGTCGGCACCCGACTTGCCTGCATGCATCTTCATCATGATTTACGATATACATTTACTTGACCTTGGATAACGGATTACTTTGTATGTATCGAATGTGGAAACATGTGGGGTGGAGACTTCCATTTCGTGTCTAGCTAGACGCGGCTAAGTCTTAGACGTGTCTAGCTGGACGGCGACTGCGTCTAGCTGGCGACTACTAACTTTAGACGCGTCTAGCTTGGAAGTCTCCGTCCACGCCAAGTTAGACGCCAACTTGGACGTCTGCTCAGTTAGACGCCAGCTGGACGCCAGTGGAAGTCTCCGCCCGTGATGTGCTAGTTTATTCCTATGTTTGGGGATGGGGATACCTATTGGTACATCAATGAGTAGGATCCATCGCACAGATCGTTCAACGATTGGCTGTCATCAATTATCAGTAGCGGTTGTTACGTTTGGTGTACGGTGCATATGTCGACCGTGCTGACCACTGACTCCCCTACTGACCCTGTGCTGACCGCTGACTCCCCTACTGACCCCGTGCTGACCGCTGACTCCTCTACTGACCCCGTGCTGACCGCTGGCTCCCCTACTGACCCCGTGCTGACCACTGACTCCCCTACTGACCCCGTGCTGACCGCTGACTCCCCTACTGACCCCGTGCTGACCACTGACTCCCCTACTGACCCCGTGCTGACCGCTGACTTTCCTACTGACCCCGTGCTGACCGCTGATTCCCCTACTGACCCCGTGCTGACCGCTGACTCCTACTGACCCCGTGCTGACCGCTGGCTTCCCAGAACCAGGAGTTCACCTTCCGGTTGCACGAGCACGCCGATTTTGGCTGGAGCCCGCGGCTGCGGGCGCGAGACTTTATTGCGTTGCTGAGTAACCTGACTGCCATCAAGATCCGCGCCACCTACACCCCGGAAGGTAAGCGGCGTGTGCGTGCGCCCTGACCTCCCCTCCCCGCCTTGTCTGCTGGGGGGAGGTACCATACCCGCCCACTCCGGAGCCGAGCGGGGCGGGGGGGGGGAGAGGTCGCTGTAGGCTGGTGACGACACGCGCCGTTCATATTTTGGGCAGGCGCGGCGTTTTGTCGTGCGGCGAGCCCTCCGTGTGGTGCAGTGTGCCGATGCCCCTGAGCGGCTGATCGGCCGGTCTGCTGACGGGCGGCAGACCAGCGGCGCCGGGCGCGCGGCCCACCTCGGCCACCAGGCTGACCAGCTGCCGGCGGCGCTGCGGGCGCTGCGGGCCGCCGGCCGGCTGCGGCCGCCCGCGCTCCGTCTGGGCCGCGCTCTCCCGCACGTCGGTCACCAGCTCGGCGCGACGTACGAACGGCACCTCGCCCTTCATCAGGCCGATGAAGAGGCGCACCACGTGCTCGCTGGCCAGCGCGATCTCGTCTCGCATCATGCGCACGGTGCTGTAGAGCTGGCCGAGCCGCGCCTGTCCACGCTCGTGCTCGCCGCTGAAGTAGAGGTGGCGCAGGCCGAGCGTGCGGTCGGTGGCGTGCACACCGGTGCGCACCAGTCGCACCACCTGCAGCCTGCCGCACAGGTCGGCGCGCACTGTCAGCTGCGGCAAAAACCGGCCGGCCGTGCGCATCCGCGCCGCCAGCCAGTGCTCCACCAGCGCGCTGTACCGGGCGCGCAGCTCGGCGTTGAGCCGCACGCCGCGCTGGTACTCTGCGCCCAGCGAGTCGGTCTTGTGTCTCGCCTGGCGTAGGAAGTGCTGGTGCACGCCGAGCTGCTGGGCGCGCAGCCGCTCCCAGTCGGCCACCAGGCGGGCCATGTGGCGCAGCCGCTCCAGCTGGGCGCCGTGCGAGACGCGCCGCCACTGCAGCTCGCTGTCCAGACAGGCGATCTGTTCGGTGAGCGCGGCGCGCCGCGGCCGCAGCCGGCCCAGCCGCTCGGCGTAGCCGGCCTCGGCGCGGCGCGACTGCTCGAGCGCGCCCGTCAGCCGCTGCACGTGCTGCTCCAGCTCGAAGATCTGCGACTCCTGCACCTGGGCGGCGAACGCCAGTGCCACCTTCTGCGTCATGACGGCGGCGCCGTGCTCGTCGATGAAGTGGTCGGCGCCGCTACGCTGTCGCGACATAGAGGCCAGTCGGCGCAGCGCCGCCGCGTTCTCGCGCACCAGGGCGTCCAGGCGCGGCTGCGCCACGGCCAGCCGGGTGGCAAACGTGTCCTCGAGCGTCTGGCGCTGCGCCAGCGTCAGCTCGTAGCGCTCCAGCTGCAGCTGGAGCGTGTTCTGGGTGGTGCTCAGCTGGGCCTCCAGCTGCCGGTGTACCTGGCTCTGGTAGGCCACCTCGCCCTTGGCGAAGTCGATCTTGCGCTGCTGCTCGTCCTCCTCCTCCTGGTACTGGCGGCGCAGCGCGGTCAGCTTGGCCAGGATGGGCTCCTGCTTGTTCAGCACCGACTTCAGCTTGACCTGCACGTCCTTGATGTCGCCCTGGAGGTCGTAGATCTCCGGCTGGACGGCGTCGGCCAGCTGCTCGGCTTCCTTCCACTTCCGCACCGTCTCGTGGATTCTCTTCCGCGTCTGGATGCTGCGTGTCGTGATCATGTTGACGTTCTTGCGGATCTGCCTGTTGCTGCACAATTTGGATATCTTGACCCCCTCGATTTCGATTTCGAGCTGCTCGTGTTCCTCGTGCAGCGCCTGCTCGACGGCGACCATCTGTGTGATTTGGATGGCGCGGTCGCGGCGGCCGAGCTCGGTCTGCAGCTGTCTGCTGCGCGCTGCGCCCAGCCGCTGCACCGCCTGCGTTACGGCGTCCTGGACAGCGGCGCAGAGCCGCTCCACAGACTGGCCCGGCTCGTCGCTGTCCAGCGGCGGCAGCGCGGTGCCGCTCAGTCGGCTCAGCTCCGTCAGCGACGCGCCCACTTGGGCGGCGCGGCTGCTGGCCGCGCTCTCGGCGGCGGCCAGTTGCTGCTCGAGCAGCTGCAGCGCGCTGCTGGACGCGGCCGCGTCCCGCCGGCTCACCGCCAGTCGCTCGCTAAGCTGTCGGCGCCGGACAACGCGCTGCATGGCACGGATCTGTCCCTCGGAGCGCTGCTGCTGCAGCAACTGACGCAATTGCGCCGTGCGCCGCGCCTCCTGACGCTTCTGGCGGGCCAGCGCGCGCACCCGCTCCTTGAGCTCGCGCAGCTGGGCAAAGTCGTGTCGCGCGCCCTCGCCGACCGTGATGGCCTCCTCTCGGACGTGTGTGACGTACTCTCCGATTGCACCGGCGCGCTGCTGCAGCGCCGCGATAGACGTCGCCATGCTGACGGCCTGCTGGCGCGCCTGCGCGCGCTCGCCGCTCAGCGCGGCCTGCTCGCGCCGCCATTCCGTCTGTACGGTGTGGATGCGGCGCTCCAGCTTCTGCGAGCAGCCCTCGCTGGTAACGCGCATGTGCCCCTGAACGGCCGCCGAGGCAGCCTCCAGCTGCTGGATGCGCCGCCACGTCTTGTGGACGTCCGTCTCTAGGCGGCGCAGCAGGGTGCCGACGTTCTCCAGGAGGCCGTGCACGTCGCGCGCCAGCCGGCCCGACGGCGGCCGTCCGTCGGTGATGATCGCGCCCTGGCGGCCGAGCCGGCGCGCCGTCCGCGACTGGTCGCCCTCGTCCGCGGCGGCGGCGGCGGCGGCGCGGTAGCTGCGTTTGACCGTGTCGGCCAGCGGCTGCGTGCGCAGCAGCTCGTCCAGGCGCGCCAGGTTGTCGGAGGCCTTGGCCACGCAGGCGGTCAGCACAAAGTTGTCCAGACAGGAGTGTCGGCGGCACAGCTCGGCCGGCGCCACGTCCGGGAAGGTGGCGCCGGCCGGCCGCTGGGCACCGGACGCGCACGCCGCCTCGTTCATGGCTGCGCCCGGCGGACCGGGACAGGTGGAGTGCAGCTGCTGACAGTCCGTCTGGGATTTCCACCCAGTCGTTAGCTTGTCTGAGCGCTGGCAGCAGCGGTGCTCTGTACAGCCACCACTAAGCGCACAACGAATACATCAGCGCCGGGCGAGCCAACGGTTCACATTGATACTCGAACTCAGTGTGTTCTTCCATCCTACGGCTAATTAGAGCTATCTCATCCATGGGCTAGTGCAAGGCTTGGTCAAGGTTTGAGCGGTTTGATCAAGGCAATCGAGGGTTTGATTTGGGTTTGATAAATGAGTTGGCATGCGGTCTTTTTCAACTATTTGCAAAATGACCTGCACCTTCAGTTGTTACGAATATTCATCCTTTAGGAAGAAACTCTTTGGGTCGCTTGCAGTTGCTCGAATCGCATCTATTCGATAGGTATGCAGCAAATCACAGAGATCTCACATGCATGTATACCTATCTAAAATGTTTACAACAGTATTCTTAAAAATATAAATGTTTCAAACCTCTGCAAAACGATTTTTAGTGAAAATTATCTACGCCTTTAATTTGTCATAAAACTACGCGCCTAAATTATAAAGCACATTTGACAGATTCTGAAGTGGAAAGCATGCTTATCAGACACGGGCACCTCGATGCGTTGGATATTTTTTCCACAAACCAAAACGTTTAGCCGTCAAAAAGCAATCGACCGAAATGGATAGATAACCCAACCGACACAAGAACAACCGAACACCCGCCGATCGAAAATATCCCTTTTCGCGTTGCGGAGCACGCGGGTCACCCTAGTACCTACCTATCTAAAATGTTTATGGCACATTCAATCATATGTGTTAGCACATCTACCTAATCATGTTATGTTAAAGTTATGTTCGATTCGATATTTAAACAAGCATTATTCGATACCCTACCACGACTATATACCAACCGTCGTGATTTTTCCTGATTGACCATGACATAGTGGCAATGTCTCACTAGCATTCGCATGGTATACTGCAGCATACATATGCATACTAGGGAGGCATAGGTAGCATTGGTGTCAGTAGCGTTGTAATCGTTAACATCAGTGACTAATGGCTAGAGGTGGCAAAATGTGGACCCGAGGACCCGGTCCAAAGAACCAGTCTGGACCCATATGGGTCCAGACCGGTTCCTGGAAATTTTCTGACGGGTCCAACCGGGTCCTACCATAAACTATACATCTTGCACACTACACATTATCGCAAAATATGCAGTGAATGTTTCTTTGCACACAGTAGCTCATGAGTACCTATTCCCAGTGGGAAATAGGCTGTTTTACATGATGCCAACTAATGATACCTACAAGTAGTTTGTATTAATTGACTTTTGGGGAACGGGTCCAACTGGTTCCGATTTCAACTAAAGACCGGTCCGACTGGTTCCAGAAATGTCCAGCCGGGTCTGGTTCGAGTCTGGTTCCCAAAATTTTCATCTTTTGCCATCTCTACTACTGGCTATAGTTCGTTTTTTTTCTTTCTAAGTTTGACCCTCACTGTAAACATCTTTTTGAACAAAGCACAATAAGTGCTAGCTTAATTACTGAGAAAACTGGTCAGTGCACATTGTATTGGAGATATGAAAAATAATTTTCATTATAAGTTTTGAACTCCGATAATATAACATTGACTTTTCAGTAATTCAGCTAGCAATTCTCGTGTTGTGTTCAAAGAGACGTTTACAGTGAGGGTCGAACTTGAAATAAACGAACTATAGTGCACATGTGACCTCCCAACTAGTAATGGTGCTGAAACGTTTCACACATTTCGATTGATTTTTCTGTGTTTCTCTCGGCAGGTGTGGGCTTCTTGGAGTCGTTTTCGCTGGTGTCGGCTCGGAGAGGGATCCGTGGCAAGGAGGCCACTTGGGTGGAGACGTGCACCTGCCCGCCAGGGTAACGCGCCCCCGGGTAACCGGGTAACGGGCCCAACTAACGAGTCGGGCAGGGTAGGGTAACGGGCGGCCCGGCGCCCCGCGGAGACTGTGAGTTGTGACACTGTGCTGCCGGCCACGCTAGCTGACTAGAGGTGTGCAGCCGCGGCTCTGCGCGCAGTGTCATCCCCACACTCCAATACCGAGTGCTCAGCCGCCCGCCACTGAACCCCCTCTCTGCGGCAGCGGCAGCTCAGTGTGTCACCCACTCGTGCTTACCTTCTTGTTATTTTTACATAAAGTGCATAGGTCAACCAACGTTGGATGTCAATTTCTTTGATGGATATCGGCGCATTTTTGGTTTGTTAAAACTTGTCCACAATATCCCATACAGCCGTGGCGCCGTGTCCGGTTTGGCGCCGGCGGCAGCCCGCGCGTCCTGTGCCGTTTGCCGTGCCGGCTCGGCGCTGGCTGCTGACGCCCCGTGCTCTCTGCCCTTTGGCAGCTACGTGGGCCAGTTCTGCGAGTCGTGCGAGCCCGGGTTCCGGCACGAGCCGGCCAACGGCGGCGCCTTCGCGCGCTGCGTGCCCTGCGACTGTAACGGCCACGCGGACATCTGCGACGCCGAGAGTGGTGGGTGCCGCTGTCACACTGGCGGGGCCCGCGCTCCGGGCGCCGTCCGTGTGTAGGCGTGAGCCGAGAGTGGTGGGTGCCGCTGTCACACTGGCTGGGCCCGCGGTCGGGTGAGCTGAGAGTGGTGGGTGCCGCCGTCACACTGGCTGGGCCCGCGGTCGGGTGAGCCGAGAGTGGTGGGTGCCACTGTCACACTGGCTGGGCCCGCGGTCGGGTGAGCCGAGAGTGGCGCTGTCACACTGGCTGGGCCCGCGCTCCGGGCGCCGCCAGGGTGTCGGGGTGAGCCGCAGAGCGCCTGACGCGGCCGGTCGGCCGGTCGAATTGGACTCGTCGCCCCAGACAGCCGCGGGCGCCAGGCAGTCGTCTCAGGGGGAGTCGAATCGGACTGGTCGTCGCGACCGCAGTGCCTGTCTCTGTCTCTGTCTCTGTCTCTCTCCTCTCTCAAGCCGCTTGCCGAAAAAATACGGCAGTATCGTTATTTCGGTCGTTTTAAAATACGCCACTCAGCGACGGGGACCACACAGCGGGAGGGGGGGGGGGCTGGTGGGGCGAACGCGGCGCCCGGAGAACCGCAGTAGGAGGTACAGCCCTCTGCAAACTGCGTGGTAGGTATAATAACGCTGATACTATGCTATCGGTCACTCGAAAATCGTAACAGCAAGACGCGCGAGGCTCCGCACCTTAGATTGGCATTACCATCGTTATTCATTTTCCATCCAGTTTGGCAACAAAACCCAAAAGTTTATATTTATTTATTTATTTATTTATTTATTTATTTATTTATTTATTTATTTACCAAGATCGTCGACGGGATTCCCATTGAAAGACGAAGTCAATTCATAAAATCAAACACGCATACAGCACAAACCTACTCGAAAAAAAACACACACGCACAGTAAAGCACAGTAAAACCGTACATATAGATATACAAGAATGACGATGATAATTAAGAGTGGAACAAAAGTAAAAGGTAAAAGCTGAATGACTAGTCCGGATACGGCAGAGGAGTAGCTATTGGTTCACATGAGCACATGATCGTTGCCCCACGTCCTCGTAGCCTCCTCCTTCAATGTTTAACATTCATCTGGCTCATCTAAGGCACGCCGACGGTATAATTATACATGCAAAACAGGGATGCGGAGCCGGAGCCGGAGTCGGAGCCGGAGCCGGCATATTTTGCCCGGAGCCGGAGCCGGAGCCGGAGCCGTGAAACAATATAGACCGGAGCCGGAGCCGGAGCCGGAGCCGCCAAAAAAGGGGGCGACTCCGGCTCCTTTTTATTTTTTGAAGAGGAAAAAAATAATTGACCTAGTTCGGTTTGACAGTACAAGGCAGTGAAACATATGGTATGTACTTACGTCATGGGCAATCAAGTGAATGAAAAAAGCCGAATATCCCCAGTATCCCACAGTACGCAATCAACTTCCTGTCTGCTCCTCCCCCCCCCCCCCCACGTCTACTGCATCCCCAGAACATGAGGACCGGTCATCAGGTGACGGCCATTGTTTTCAAGCCAGTGCAGTGGACTGCGACTCCCAGCACCGTCTCTGCCGAGACGGGTGTCAGCTTACGATGGTTCAGTGAACTCCGATTCGCGGCGACTGCGTTTCCAATGCCATCGCTTCCTAGTTCTTTGTTCTGCCAGTTCTCTCCGAGGTGCGTTTGCGCGGGGACGCGGTCATGAGCCGGTCATGGCAAAGAGTAACGCGTATAACCAATCCAATTTTTCTTCCACCCGTATTTAATTGATTGCATAGGGGATGTACTGAGTCGGAGTCGGAGCCGGAGCCGGAGCCGGAGCCGCCGGAGCCGGACCATTTTACTCGGAGCCGGAGCCGGAGCCGGAGCCGCCATAACATTTCACCCGGAGCCGGAGCCGGAGCCGGAGCCGATTTTTTCTCCGGAGCCGGAGCCGGAGCCGGAGCCGTCTGAAATTTCCACGGCTCCGCATCCCTGATGCAAAATGATAAACATAATGCTTACCGAGATCTGTTTCCTTTCCAACTACGAGAATGCGAAACAACAATGCTCTCTCACGTGTCCCTCTCATCCTTCTTGACACATCAGCGACTTAGAGATGACCGAATGAAAACATGTCCGAAAATTCACTCTACACCGTTCACCACTATCCACAACGTTACTAGCAGCGCCATCTAGAAAGTAAACTAGCAACCAGAACTAACCAACAGCTCGTGGCTACAATGTAGAGGTCGCCACGAGCTGGACATTAGGGTGTGTCATATCTAATATTTTTGTCTCAGATCAAGCGCTTCCGCGGATATTCCTCGTCCCTGGGTTCATTGAAGCCCATTGGCACCGTTCTTTTTTCGCTGCACCGAAAATTCAGGCGGCGCGGGCCCAATCAATTTCGACATTTCCCATGGCGCCCGGCGTTGAAGTCTCCATACTGAACACAATGCGTACCGTAGCGATAACACCAGCCATATGACTCGCCGTCGGCCTGTTGCGGCCAACACCGTTTGACGGTTAAAATTCGATTGCTATTTCTTGTTTAAATGGACGTCGGACGAAACATACTGCTATCTTATGCGTGGTTCACACCGGATCCGTAATGACGCCGTAACCGTTACGGCCGTAATGTGCTAGACATTTCTCAAGATTCCCCAAGCATTGCGACTTTTCTAGACGAAGTTGAAATTTGGCAACCAGCCGCCGTAAACTGGCAGCGTCCACCGTACTCGTTACGGAACGTAACAGGAGTTGGGAAAATTGAACTTTTCGGCCCGACCAGCCGCCGTAATGACTTTTGTTGACATGTATCTCCAAAACGGTTTGACTGTTTGATGAGCGGTCTTCTTTGGGGAGGGGCTGCATCCTTTGTACCCTGAACTGTGCTATTGATATCACTCATGAGTGCCTGTTACAGCACGTGTCACGTGCGACGAGAGAGGTTCCAAAAGAGCTCGTCATACCATAACTCGGGAACGGCTGAATGGAAACGGTTCAATATTTGTTTGTTGTTTTGGCTGGGTGCACACTACACATCCCGTGACCTTAGGACGATTTCGAATTGCCTCAGCGCGTGCGCACGTGCGCACCCCTTTTTCACATCTCGGGATTGGCTGTGCCAATCGCGCCCATATTTGGTATGCTGAATGACATCATGTTTATATGCAAATTGCACAGGTTGACAAAAGCATTGATCTGCACGTGCGCACGTGCGTGCCCCTTTTTCATATCTGGGGATCGGCTGGGCCGATCGCGTTCATATTTGGTGTGCTGAATGACACCATGTACATATGAAGATTGAACAGATCGGCAAAGGCATTGGTCTGCACGTGCGCGCGTGCGTACCCCTTTTTGGCATCTTGGGATCGGCTGGGCCGATAGCGCTCATATTAAGTACCTATGCTGAATAAAACCAAGTTTATTTGCAGATTGCACAGGTCAGCAAAAGCATTGATCTGCACCTGCGCACGTGCGCACCCCTTTTTCATATCTGGGATCGGCTGGGCCGAAAGTGCTTATATCAAGTATGCTGAATGATAACATGCTTATATGTAGAATTCACAAGTCGGCAAAGGTATTGATCGGCACGTGCGCACGTGCGCACCCCTTTTTCATATCTCGGGATCGGCTGGGCCGATAGCGCTCACATTTGGACTTTGGTATGCTGAATGACACCACGCATATAAAGTATGCAGATTGCAAAGGTCAGCGAGAGTATTGGTCGGCACATGCGCACGTGCCCACCCCTTCTCACATGTTGCGATTGATTGGGCTGGTCTGGGTAGCGGGTAGCGGTCTGCTCGTGTGCAAGTGCGGAACTTTCTACTTGAAAAAAAATCGTATCAACTCGCCGACTGATTTTTAGGCATTATTTCATGTAGGTATGCCTTCATAATGTCACAACCTACTTTGTATCTCTTGAGTGACGTACGTACATAAAATTCGTGTTCCGTAATTACATTTCACTCGTTTATTTAAAGATAACATTTCCTTCGTAGGCCTAGCCTAGCCCTAATCATGTAGGTATGTTACAGGTCAAGTTCAAAGTCCGCAAAATAAATTCCAATCCATAGATTCTCGTGCCACGTCTTTTATGCAGTTCTGAGTCAACTTCGCTGCCCATATTGCCCCTGCTAGACTTGATGCTTGGACGGACACTGCACCGCCTCTTCGCAAGCCAATTGAGCAAACTGTACGATGCGTAGGTACGTTGATCTTGCCCATGGATAGCAGCGATTCACGAGTGTAGAAAATGAACTTCAGCGTTGACCAGCATAGGCATGTTTTCTTGTTTATGCCAAAAAAGGATTAACATGGGTGGAGAATGTTTGAAAAAGTTACCCCGGCCGGCGACCGAAAGTCAGAGAGACGATGATGCTCAAATATTTGTCAACGGTTATCAACAAACCCCTATTCTGTGGCTGATGGAATAATGGATGGTCGTTTGTACGTTTTTATGGAAAATGGCTTTTGATGTAATTATAACAACAATTTTGCAACACGCCTTAAAATTTCGGACGCATGTCACCTAGTGTCAGGTCAGGTCATCAGGTCAAATTTGCTGGATGATCGTGCTAAAAATGTCATCATGCCCTTTGCAAAGCTTATTCCGTGGAAGTTGCAACCTTCCCACACAAAAATGTCAAATTGGACCGTTTAAACCCTCTTATTGATTTGAGCTCGCACCTGAAATATTATTAGCGACCGAGTCTTAAACGAGTTATCGAATGTTTTGTTTACAGTGTTTTAGTTCCGTTATGTTCATGAACTGTGAGAAAAGTTGTCGGAGAACGCTAAAATCAGAGAAATTTGGCTTTTGATGATCTATGGTGGGCTTATTATTGTGCTTGCGCCTAAAAGATGACCACTGACCAGATTTCTCTGATCACGTTTGTCGCTCTTCCAAACGTCGTTCCGCTTCTCGCCTCGTAGCCCAGTAGCCGAGTTAGAAGGAGCGTGAAACGCCCTCCTCTCGACTCAACGTGTTACGATAGAGCCACCACCCTGGCGCGGATTAAGTGGGGTAGCCT